CTTAAGACTCCTTGTCTCAAGGCTATATGTGGTGCACACATTTCTTGCATGAGCTATGTGTGATGCTGCTGTATGTGTGACTCTGGACCCCATGGCACCAAAACCCTGTTTCGCAGCCCCAGTGCTATCTAGCTGCTCACACCAATCTCATCGGTGTGCAGTGCTGTTCCCCTCACACAAGACTGCAGCTGGCATGCTTGTGGATCATTCCTGGGGGCTCCTGCCAGCTCCGTGGAGGCAGAGTTAAGGCTGTGTGGGTGTGTATCTTAATTCTTCATTTCCTGTTTTTCAGAAGTTTTGAGTTTTCCTACACAGTTTGGAAAGGCAGAAAAAAAACCAAGCAATTTTAATTCTGCTTCAGCAAAGTACCGTATTAATAAACCATAGCCAGAGCTGGCACGTTTAGCTGAGGTTGTGTGAGGCTGTTGTTTGATAAAAGACCTTATCTTCAGTTGTCTATGAGATTGTTCCCCAATAACTTCCTCATGTTGTGGTGCCTATACGTTAAAGTTGACTCACCTCCCATCAGTTTGACACACTGCCCAGACCGAGCTCTTTAAATTTGTCAATGTAAAACATTTTCTTAAGCCCTCAAGTCATTTCTGTGACTATTTCTGCCTCCTCTCTGGGGTTGCAATGCCTCTAAATATTTGGTAGATCATAGAGAGAGGAGGAAATGGAGGCTGTCTCAATGCAAGCCAGGAGCCCAGCCAGAGGGTACAGCCCGAGGGTCGGGGAAGCATGTGCAGTGCCAGGAATGCACTTCCTCCCGGGGCCTGTCAGGAAGCTGGTGCTTCCTGAGTCTCAGCATTCCTGCGCTAGGTAGCAGATGCTGTGCACTGCCCGTTTTCTGCCCAGACATGGTGATCTCTGCTCAGACTGTCCTGGCTAGGCATGGAGACCCTTGTGAGCATTTTTGCTAAACCTGCCGCAGGGGTTTGCAGCAGTCTGCTGTAACACTCTTGAACCTTTCTTGGAAATACCTGATTTTCTTTTCTGCTGAGACAGTTCTCAGCTTAATTTGCACCTCAGTCCAGTGGGACTGCCTTTTGTTTTTGTGTGTAAGAGCCTGCAGCCTCTGGTCACCAGCACAGGCTTTCTTGTCTGTCCAGTCCTCTTTCTTAAATCCAGAAGTTATATTTTAAATGTAATTCTAGCTTTTAATCTAAACCTCAAAGTTTAGGATGTGCCAGACTTGGGGTAGGATCTGTGGTTTAACAGCAGGATGCTGCCCTTCCTCTGGCAGGGTGTATCTGCGTCACGGTGGGCAAGCCAGAGATGGAGATGTTCCACAGTCCTCCGTTTGTGTCTCTTCTTAAATGGTGTGCAGATTGGGAAAGCTGCAGAAGTGTTCATGCTGCATTAAGAAGCACTGGGATTTATGTGGTGAATGTGGATGGGGCTTTGAGAGGGCTGAATATGGTGCAAAGCCAGACCCTGGCATCTGAGAGATCTCAGTCAGAGGTTTTGTGGTCCAAGTCATCAGTCTGCAGAGGGGGATTACTCCACAGCTTGTTGTGAAGATCTCTTAATTGTTTCTTGGCCATTTAGCCCCAAGTGCTGCTAAGCTTAGAGAAAAACACAGGAAGAAAGTCATTTTCTTTTTTCTTTTTTCTTTTTTTCCTGAGTGTGGGGCTTGTGTAAAGTGAATATCAGAAGAGGAATGAAGTATCAATCACATCTCTGTGCTTTCAGTATTATTTGTGCATAGATGAGGCAGAGCCCTTAGGAAAGCATAACATGTGACTGCTTCTTGAAAGTGTCATGTTTATGTGGTGCACAAAGGCAAATTCAGGTTGAACTCGTGATGAGTAAGTTCAGCTCTCATATGTGTGTATTCCTGGGTTCTACATCTTTCACATTCTTTTGAGACAGAACTTGTGTGTGTGGCTGTATATGCTGGGAGCAATGTCTGGATGACGGCGCGTGATGTGAGAAGCAGAGAAGCAGGAAGCCAAGGATGTGCTTGAACCTGGGGAGAGGAGATAGCAGGAAACACCATGCTCTGCCCCTACCCCTGCCACTCTTCAGGACTCCGTGCAGGGAATCAGCATGCAGCAGCTTCAGTAAATTCCTTGCAAAGCAATGCTTTCCATTGCAGATTCGTACTGCGAGACGCTGCCCATAGACGGCCCTCCCTCTTTCCGGGGACAGTCAGTGAAGTATGTATACAAGCTGACCATCGGCTGCCAGCGGGTCAACTCCCCTATCAAACTCCTGCGTGTGCCCTTCCGTGTCCTCCTATTGCATGGTAAGGCCACGCTCTGCCGTCTTCTAGGTACAGGCTGGTCTGCAGCCTGCCGCACTGACTTTTGCCTTCTTCACAGGCCTCAAAGATTACCAGTGCCCACAGGATGAAGCCGTTGCGCCCTCAAACCCCTTCCTGGAAGAGGAGGAGGGCTTGAAGAAAGACTCTCGCCTGGCAGACCTGGCAACAGAGCTGCTCATGGCAGCCACCTCCCGACGTAGCCTGCGTAGGTCACTTCTATTCAAACATGCTGTCCTGACCTACATGTGAAGCAGAAATGCCTGCAGGCTTGCCCTCTTCCCAGCTCACTGCTTGCTGTGAAAGTCTCTTGCTGGAACGGTCTGGGGCTATAGTGCAGCTCCATCAGGGCCTGCTTTAGATCAGAATTTCTCAAATTCTTCCCTGCCAATCTCAGTAAAGACCTTCTCCCCAGCGTATTGCAGCCAGCATGTGGTTTTCTGTTGCTTGCTGCGTACCTTTCCTAGAGGGAATGCCTATCCTTCATCCAGGAGGTGCTAAAGGCCAGGTTGGATGAGGCCCAGGTAAGTGTGATCTAGTGGATGGCAATCCTGCCCAGGGCAGCAGGTGTGAAACTGTATGATCTTTACAGTCCTTTCCAACTCAAGCCATACTCCGAGTCTGTGATTCCCCAGCAGACGAGCTGTGTTTGTTAGGCTCTTTGAATCTGCAGTAAGCAGAGCCTCGTTATGCCCCAGCTCTGTTCGTCTCTCTGCTTTCTGCTTAGACTTGTACAATATCAGCAACACGCGTGGGAAGGTGGGGACATTCTGTATCTTCAAGACTGTGTATAAGATTGGAGAAGATGTCATTGGGACCTTTAACTTCTCAGAAGGAGACATCCCATGCCTACAGGTCAGTGCTGACTTCATTACACTGCGTGGAAAGCCAGGTGTTTTGGGTGGGAGAGTGGGAGAAAGGACTGGAGTGGCACTGAGCTGCTGTGGGACTTCTGGTGAGACCTCAGTAAGACACAGCTGAGGTTCCTTTGGGGTTCCAGGTGGGAAGGGCTTTTCGTTCTGAATGCTGCTGGGAAACAGGCCCCAGGACCATATGAGCATGAGCTTTCTGCTGATTACTGTCCAGTTTTCAGTGAGCCTGCAGACAGAAGAGAGCATCCAGGAGGAGTTCCAGAGGCGACGGGGACAGCCTGTCTCTTTCAGCACACATGCCCGCCATCAGGAGGCCTGCCTGCACACGGCCCAGAGCAGTTTCAACCTGCCAATCCCACTGAGCTCAACTCCAGGATTCACTACCAACATCGGTTAGCGGCCCTGATTGTCCCTGTGGGAGGACCACAGTGTCCCCAGGCCAGCTTTTGCTGCCCTGTGTCTACTGGCAAACTCTCTGCAGGGCTGTGTCATGTATGAGGGAGGGAGCTGGCCGTGTGTGAGTGAGCATGTTTGCTTGTCCCCTTGCCAGGACAGCCAACACTGATACAGCTGTTGTTCCTTGTTGTGTTGGCTGCTGACCTGCCTCTTGCCCACAGTGTCCCTGAAGTGGAGGCTGCACTTCGAGTTCGTGACTTCTGGGGAGACGGCAAGGACCTGCATGGTTCGTGGGAGCCAGTCAGAGGCCATCACCTGGACTGGGGTGGAGCAGATTGAAGTGGACACTTTCAGCTGGGACTTACCCATCAAAGTCCTTCCCACGAACCCCATCCTGGCCTCCTATGTATCTCAGTTCTCTAGTGCCAACTCTATCACCATCTGAAGTGGAAAGAGCGAGTAAAAGCCTGCAGTACTGGAGGGATTGGCTGGCAGGACCACAATCAACTTGCAGCAGGACATTGGTTCCTCAGGTTCGTTTGTAACGTATGGGTGAGCACTGAGCAGGTCTGTCCTGCCTGTGGGCAGAGGAGCATTGTGCTTGATGCCATGCTCTGTGCCACGGCCTTCAGCTGAGGGCCTGACACTTCGTCTCTGTTGGAACCTGAGTCACAACCCTTGCTGCAACAAGATCTGCTTACCAGGGGAGGGCCATGTGCCCCATGACAAAGCTGTCAAGAGACAAGAGCATAGCTGAGGGATTCTGGACCTTTTCACAGAAGCCCAATGCTGGCTTCGCATGAAGGTCCTGGCAGGCCAGTCTTGTGCTGCCAGTTTATGCTGGGCTGGACGTGGCCAAATGCTATGGCAGCTCCAGATGGAGCAGGATGGCAGCAGCATAGTGATGATCCAAAGCTGAGCACCTGGGCTGTTCTTTCCTTCTGCTCTTGTGTTCAAAGGCATCCTGCTGGTCTTGGGATCCTTGAGGAGCTGAAGTAAATGCACAGTCGGCTTTCGGGAACTGGGACAAAGGTCTCTCTGCTCAATAGCCAGCTCTGCATTTCTACCAGACCTTTCAGAGAGTTTTCCTCTTTGCGTAGTAATCTAATAAATACCAGAAGACGCACGATTCAGCCTTAAAAAGACCGTTATTCCTGCACCCTTTCTGGGGGACAGGCAGCGTAAGCATTCAATAGTCACTGAGTGGAGACCACTTTGTTTAATACCTTTATTGCAAGAACAGAAACATCTACACAAGGCTCTGTACAGCACAGGCATGGCACCAGCTGGGGCAGGCTGTCAGGGCAGCCAGCTCCACGCTCGCACAGACAGGTTGCTTCAGCTCTCTGAACACCAGCGGGGCACCCAGCTTCCTGCAGCTGAAGTGGGGCAGCCTGCACAGGGGGCCAGGCTCCTCATGGGGACAGCTGTTTTCCTCATAAGCCCAGTGTTCTGCCTACCCAGGGCTAGCACACAGAGTTCTGGTCACAGGAGCTGTGGGAGCATGGACATTAGTGGTTCAAGAAGCAGGTTACGCTTCTTGCACTCGGGCAGAGAAGGGACTGGCCAAAGCATGTCATGCTTCAGGACTGCTATGCTTCCCACTGAGATGCCAGAGGCTGCAGGCAAGGGAACTGGGGTTTTGGTGGGAGCTGCTTAACTTGCAGCTGGATGTGGTGTAATTTGGTCCTGTGGTCCTTCTGGAGCTGAAAATTCCCTGTGCAGCTCGGTGGACATCCCTGGGGATCTGCATTCCCCCCAAAAATCACAGCTCGGGGCCTGCTGGTCCTGCTGGGGGCTTGTGTGCCTGGCCCACCTCACCGCTCATCTTGAGAGCAGTGCCTTGCTGGGGAAGGGGCCCCAGCTGAGTTCAGGAAGCTGAAGGCAAAAGCAGAGCTGTACTGTGGCAGCACTAGGGTGTAAATGTTAGCTCAGTACATGGATAGTGGTTTCCCTGGAAGGTGGCTGCAGTGATGTCTACAGGCTGGGGCAGGTGTGGAGCATGCAGGAGGTGTGCTCTGGGGGAGTGGGGCTGACAGCAAGGCCGTGCACTCTATCTGCTAAGCCCCGCATCCAGCACCTTGTTCAGTGGCTCAGGGGTGCCGGCTGAGCCCCACTCGTGCTCCACGCTCTTCACACATGGCAGGCTGGGGTTGGCTTTCTGTACCACCGAGATCTGGCAGGTCTGCGTGTCATAGTGGGCCTCGCACCAGTCGGGGAAGTCAATGGGGTGCTGGGTGCTGAAAAAAAGGGCAGAGTGCTGTCAGCTCCTCTGGCAGGTGCCAGGGAGCAGCCCACATATTTCCCAGGCCAGTTCCTGCCTGTCTGATGTCCACAGAACCCTCTGTAGCACCTTGTACTCCACTGCCATCCCTTACTTCCTGCATACCCTGATCTAGTGCCTGATTTTGTGGTTGGCAACTATGGCTGGAACACAAGGATATTTATGGTCCCTTCCAACCCAAGCACCCAAGCCCTTCTATGATTCTACGGTCCCCAGGACTCAACTGGTTGGTCTGTCACAAGTGCCACCGCCAGCCCTACTGCTGCCCATCCCCAGCATCCCTCACTCACGTCTCACAGCATCCGACGCCAATGGGGTGCAGGCAGGTGCACAGCAGGCAGTTGGTGCTCAGCCACGACTCCCCAAGGGAGAACTGCTTCCCCTCGTACTCGCAGGGAGCTGCAAAGAAAATAGTGGCAATAAGCGTGAGGGTGTGTGGGAGCCCCACCGGCATCCCTCTGCCCTGAAAGGAAACAGGTATATCACTGCTTCCCCTCTTCCCTGTGACACGGGAGACAGTTGGTGGCCGCTCCTGCCATCTGTGCAGGTTTGGGAAGCTCAAGTAAACGCAAAGGGAGATGCTCTTATCCATCCTGCTGACTTGGGGCAGAATCAGGTGACTCTTGGCTCTCAGAGAAATCATATTCAGTGTCGCTTTGAATTTCAGCATCTCTTCACCCCTGAAAGGACAGGAGGGCAGCCCTCCTCCCTGTGCTACTGGTCCTGCCACAGCCGGGCCACATCTTGGTCCTGCCACAGCCTGCCACATCTTGGCCACAGCCGGGCTCCTGCCAGGAGCTCTTCATAGCCCAGCAAGTTGTTTCTCAGCCAGAACCCTGGGGAGCTGTTCTGTGGTTTATAGACTGCTCCTTCCTTCATCACTGGCCCACGACTGTGCTCCTAGGCTCAGCACAGCCTGTGTAGCTCTTTGCAGGGCTGAGCCCAGCTGCCCTGGGGAAAGCCAAGGCATTCTCCCAGCATCCACATCCTCCCAACTCACCTCCCTGCTTACCTTTAGCCTGGAAGTAGCATTTGGCCTGGGAGCCTGGCAGCTGAAGGAAGAGGGAGAGAAGAAGGCAGAGCCTGCCCCAGGTGCATGCCGTCTTCAGCGCTCTCAGGGCCATGGCCATTGTTGAGCTGGGCTCTTAGCAGTCCTGCTGAGTTGCTTTTCTTCTCTTTCCTTAGCTTCTTTCCCTTCTGTCTCTCTTTCTCTCTCTTTCTCTCTGCCTTTTTAATGCTCTTCCCCTGATCCCAACAAGAGATATTTATAAAGTTCAGCTTTACGACCCTGGCCACCAGCTGTGCCCCACTGGAAAAGTTGTAAAACTCATTTCCTGATTTGAAAGGCATGAAAACAAGAGGTAGGATCAAGATTTTTAACAAGCTGTGAAAAGCTGATTCATGCCCTCCAGAAATGTCTCCAGTTGGAAGCCCCTGTGGGTGCAGGGCTCAGTGGCAAGGGAAGATCCAAGGCACCCTGGTGAGGTTGCCCTTGGCATGGTGCTGGGCAGCCCTGGCTCCCAACCAGTGGGAGAGCTCCAGACAGCCCTCTGTCATGCTGCATCACAGCAAGGTGTCCGAGCATCCCATTGTGTGGAGGGGGATGGGCACCAGATTGACAACTGGTGCTTCCCTGGTGGGTGCAGAGCTGCTCACGCTCAGCTCATGGAGTGAATTCCCCCTTCTCCAAGCCTCTAGCGAAGGCTGTGGGTGAGGGCTGGTCTCCTTGGCCAAGGGCAGGCAGTGCAGAGGTTCCCAGTGGCACAGTGCCCTGCATGTCCACAATGTCCCCAAGGCTCAGCTTGGTGGTGCCAGTGTGAGCATGGGGCCATGCCATCCATCTGCAGCACCTGCAGATGCCAGAGGTGAGCAGTTCCTTCCAGAAGCCAGGCAACTGCAGAATTTGTGGGATATGACAAGAGGGATGAAATTGGGTGTATTTGGCCAGCAGGTGACCTGAGAGGGGAACAAAGGGCTTGGCTGTATGTACCTGAAGGCTACCACAGTCCCTTGCCTGCACTGTCTGTCTGCAGGTTGCAGGATCAGGCTGTTACCTGCAGCCAAGGAGAGAGGATGGAAGGTGTGGGCAATAGGTGTGGGGCACTGTGAATGGTGACTGCCCAGAGGGGTTCGTTGCCCTCTGCAGAAGGTGCTGCCACAGCAGGGAGCAAGGCCACCGTCCTGCCTGCAGGCAGCTGTAGCAGCAGCAGCGTATGTGGGTCATCTGCCCAATGTTAAGCTGCCTTGTTTGGGATAGGTTTACACCCTGACGCGTGAGGCTTAATATCCCTTCCAGAATTTGTGTTGGCATCCACTGTTATAGCTGGATATTTCTGTTATCCGCATAGATGTCCAATCCTTCCTTGAATCCCACTAAATTTTGGCCTGAGCACTTTCCTGTGGCAGCCTAATTAAGCAGGGAGTGAAAAAAAAAAAAAAACCCACTTCCTTCTATCCGCTTTGGATTCACCACCTTTGGGTTTCGAGGCACATCCCTCTATGGACACAGGTCCCCACACTGCCTGGCGTCCCCTGGCCCCTGCCACCACCCCACAGCCCTCCATTAAACCACTGTGTTGGACAAATGGGTGGGGGAAAGGGAGAAATCTCAAATCAAGGGAAGAAATGGAGAGGCAGAGGGCTGCATGTGCTATCGGCTGGAAGAGGTGGTAATAAATCAGAGGAGCTTGGGGTATCCATGGATAAACTACAGCCCACAGTCTGTGGGCAGGGATGGAGGAGTGTATCAGTAACAAATGAAAATCGCCCTCTGGAGCAGAGTTGTTACTATATAAGGAGGATAAAAGTCTCCGTCGTCAGAGCGGTAAATGAATATTTCTATTGTGTGTTTGGGAAAAGGAGTCTAGCACGCTAGCAACCACAGTGAACTAATCCATCTTCGTTTCACCACTGAGCAGAGAAAACGTGAAACAAAAGTTGTGCTTTTCATTTGGAGGCCCCGATGGTTGGTTCCCAGAGGGACACCAAAAATCTGGAGAAGGGGTGGTTGTGGGGGTGGCCAAGCTCTCACAGCTGGGGATCCCGGCTCTGAAGGCAGGGGATGGGGATGGACAGAGCACACAGAGCTGGGCTGCGGGATGCTGTGGTGTGGTGCAACCCTGCTCTGTCCCTGAGGTGACACGGGGTGCCCAGTTCTGGTGTTTGCCATCAGTCCCGAGCATCCCAGGACATTGCAGAAGGTGACACCTTTGTCTCAGCAACCTGCCCGTGCCGGTGCAGCTCAGCCCCCGCACACAGTGCCTGGCGCTGGGAAGCGTACCCCATTGCCAGGGGCAGCCGGAGGTGGGCAATGGCATGGGGTGGCAGTGGCCCAGCCCAGCCTCACAGGAGGTGTGCGGGTCGTAAAAGATGATGGACAAGTTGCCATCGGCAGGATCCAGGAGTGTTATAAAACCTGAATCTCCTGAGCCTTCAGCTTAGGCTGCAGCTGCAGAGCAGGAAGCAAACAGGATCCCGGCTGGCATTGTGAAAGCAAACACCATAAATCCAAGGAAGTGCTACGATTGCTGTTTTAGGCACTGGGGAGCTTGGCTCCTGCTCCCCACAAGCACTTTATTTTCTCTCTAAGCAGCAAAAAAAAAGCCTGACCCAACTTATCGCTGGGCCGAGCTGGGTCAGTGTCAGCCTGATTTGTGCGGCTGCTGCTCCAGAAAGAGGACAAAGTGGAGGGGGCATAATTAATACCTCGATGTTGCATTATTCACAGGGGCTGGGCTGGCTTTCAGGCTGGGCTCTGTTCTCCGGTACACCTCAGACTGCACGCTGAGCCCCCCCAGCTCTCTGATGCTCCCTGGTGCTCCCAGTGCTCCACCACCCTCTGGTTTTTTTCATGGTCTCATGTTCTACTGCTCACCCTCATGCTGCATGCCTCTTTGTCATGGTCCATCTCTCTTCATTTTGGTCCATTCTTGTCCTCATATTCCATTCCTGCTCTCATTCTCCATTCTTCTCCATCATGGTCCATCCTTTTTCAACACTGTGGTCCACCCTTCTCCATCGTGCTTAGCTGCTCACTCTCACAGCCTGTTCCTCTTCAGTATGCTCTATCTCTCTTCCACATGCTCCATTCCTCTTCCACATGGTCCATTTTCTCCATCATACTCCACTCTTTGTCCTCATGCTTCACCCCTCTCCAAATGCTCCATTCCTCCCCATTGTGGTCCATCCCTCTCCAGCGCGCTCCGTCCTTTTCTCCCATGCCCTCTCCAGCCTGTTTATCCCAGTGGCTGCAAGCACCCCTTATTCTCCTTTGCCACAGTTGCCCGCAGAGAGGAGCTGCTCGTCCCTCTGCAGCCCTACTGTACCTGTGTCACCCCATCTAGCATCATGCCCTGGAGACACCTGTTCCTGCAATGCTCCCACCTCACACCTGCTGACACCCAAAGGCACTGTGCACCTTACCCTGCCTGGGGCCACATTCTGGCACCAGGGGCTACCCTGATGTGCCCCACTGCTGCCTTCAGCCACTTTTCCTAAGAAGAATGATGGGAAGGTGCACAGTGTTTGGGAAAACAGGCCTTGGCACCCACCAGCCATCCCAAGAAAATAATAACATCCGGGTGGGCAGCAGTGCCGCGAGTGCGAGAGAGTGGCACTCCATAAATCCCCTGGAGCAGGTGCTTTGTAGTCGGCACAAGGAAATGAGCACATTATTCATCTCGGCTTAAACCTCTAAATGCTTCCTGTCCTGTGATTCAGAAATAACCCTGGGAGATCAGTGCTGGGCTGCGCAGGAACTGCACTATCCAAGAAAGTGCCACGAGCCTGCCAGGCCCAGGACCAAGCGAGTGATGGGTGCCTGTGGCAGAGAAAGCGATGCAGGGATGCATGCACTACAGTGACACCACTGGAACTGCGGCACGAGTGGGGCCAGTGTCTTTAAAGAGGCTGATGGCACTGATATGACTGGTGGAACCCCAAAGGCTAATGGCACCACCAAGGCTGGATGGCACCAATGAGGCTGGTGGCACCATTTTAACTGGTGGCAACAACAGAGATGGTGGCATCAGTATGGCTGGTAGCATCACCACTGCTGGTGGTACCACAACAGGTGGCATCAATGAGGCTGGTGGCCCCAAAACCGTTGGTGGCACCAATGGGGCTGGTGGCCCCAGTAAGGCTGGTAGCATCACCAGAGGCTGGTGGCACCATCATGACTGGTAACAGCAATGAGACTGATGGCACCAGTAAAGCAGGTGGCACCTTAGACTGACGGCATCTATGAGGTTGGTGAAACCCTGGGGTTTGTGGCACCACTGGTGTTGGTGGCATCAGTGAGGCTGGTGACACCACTGGGGCCGGTAGAACCACTTGGTCTGGTGACATCAACATTTCTATGTGCCGCAGGGCCAGCAACACCTGCAGTGGACACTGGGGGTTTACAATCTCAATGGCTCTTGCTGATCTTTGCTGATTTTTCTCCAGTATCAGGATCAGAGCCCCCTGCTCCATGCAGCCCAGCTCCAGCATTATCAGCCCTCTGCAGACCCACAGTGCCCCAGCACATCACGACTGATAGCCGGGACTCATGGAAGCACCCCAAGAAAGAGTGTTGGGCACTTGGGCACACCCCTCAGAAAGAGCCACAGTAGAGACCTGGACAGGACCCTGTAGACAGAGGTGGGGACCCTCCTTCACTCTGGAGCATGGAAAGATGCTGGTGGCTCTTCCCATGGTGACATCAAATTCCAGCACACTGGGACCTCTGCCTGATCTGAACCTGAGGAACAGCACAGCTGCCACATTACCCATGCTTTTCTCTTCACAATCTTCTCTTCTGCTCATTTTTTTCTCCCATTGTTGGCATGCAGAACCCAAACACAAACAAGGAGTCCTTCAGGTTACCCTGACAACTGCAGCACGCGAAGCCCATAATGCACAGTTCACTGTGCATGCCCATTCCTCTGTGGTGCTCATGCAGCGGCCTGTGAACTCTTGGCCAGAGCAGCCTCAATCTTTCGGAGATGTTCCCCTCATGGCAGGGATGAGGGGGTGTTTGGAGTAGCTCAGTGGAGGGAGATGGGGCTCATGGATGAGCCTCTTCCATCCATGCTGTGCCTCAGCTCCAGCCTCCTGTACCCCAGTGTCCCACATCCCCACTATGTTGATGTCCCATGCAGCTCCTCCACCCAGCTCGGCTGTCCTGACCTGCTGC